CCCTCCGATTGGTTGAGCAGTGCAGACACATGCGATTGTTCATGCGCTGTTTCCACAACAGACAAGCTCCCTTGATCGCATCGACATCCATCCATCAAGCCACACACAAGACCAACACAGTGGGCAAAAACTGACACAAGTTCAGACAGACGGACAGATGCACCGCACAGCCGTGCATGTGCGGCCCAGGCACATTCACATACACACACGAGGTCAGGCCGAGACGCAGCCATGACATGTATGGCAGCCACTGCCTTTAAAACGCTCTGAGACACTCTCACTCGTTCCCCACCCATGAATGGTTCAATCATACCGGGTATGCAGAACTCACACTGTCCTGCTCAGTCGGCCGCTCGGTGCTGGTGGTCTGTCGTGTGGTGCTCGGCTTCATCTCAAGCGCCGCTGCTTTCGCCCGCACCCGCTGCATGATGACCGCATTCAGCATGGCGAGTTCCTTGGTCAGCACCGTGCAGCAGGTGGCCGTGATGGAGATGACGATCGTCAGAGTGTCGGTCGACCTTGCTCCATAGAGGATGGTCAGGGCCAGGATGGGCACCTCGAACAGCGATGCGGCGAAGAGAGATGCGTGCTGCCGGAGTGTGGCCTTTGTGCGGATGCCGTATGAGACGATGGCGCTGAGGTTGTCCACTTGGCAGAGAATGAGGATGCACACGCCAGGCCACAACACGCCATGGGTAATCATACCCATCCCCACAGCTGCATGGCGTTGGGTGGTGAGCAGCAACCACACGACAGACACACACAGAGACAGACAGACAGACAGGCAAACAGACAGATCGAAAGATCGAGAAACTTTTGTCGCCCACTTACTTACCCAGGTCGGACATGAAGTCGATACAGGTCAGCAGGTAGGTGATGTACTTGAGCATTCGGCAAAACTCCAAGTCGTCCATTTTCCTCAGCCACGGCACAAGCTTCCGCACCAGCACACAGAGAGGGTTGTGCTCCGACCAGGTGTACCCAGAGGCCGTCAGCATGCCCGAAAGAGGGACAGGCATCAAGCTGAACCTGGCCGGCAGCCAATGGGTACCATTAAGCCTCTTGAGCACATCCTCGTTTGTGAACAGTCGTGGCTGGGCGATGAAGGCGAAGGATGGCGAGCAGACTGCGAGCTCGACACGCACGGCCAGCAGTGATGCCGCATAGCCAAACGCTGCACACACACATACGGAAGGAAACCAGGACTGTGGACAGATGGACGGCAGCTTCATTGGTCAGATTCTCCGCTGGCGTACGTGCGTAGAGGAGGATGGCGGCCATGGTGATAACGCCATACGTACACGCCGCGAACTGCACAACCAGGTTCCTGTAAGTCCCATACGCATATCGCAAGTTGACGATAGCAAGCAGAGGGTCGCCCACTGCACACGCCAAACGAGCAAATAGAGAAGAGAAACCATTGCGCGTTCTGGTTTCCTCCCTCCGTCTACGTACCAAGGCCACTCATTGCGACGATTCCAGCCCATTTCGCGTCAGGCACAAGAACGATTGTGAGAGCTCCCAACGTCACCATCCACAATCCCGCAATCACTGCACGAATGTGAGAGCTCCCAACGTCACCATCCACAATCCCGCAATCACTGCACGAATGCACCAACACACCAAACAAGACGACGATGCATCGTCTCTGTGCCTGCAAGAGCCCTCCCACAAACTTACACAGCACTGTTGCGTAGAAGCACATCTTGGCGGGCACGTCAGGGAGAAAGAACCTGACTTGCCGGTCCTTGCCCCACAACCTCCTGCCGACGTCCATCACCAGGTACTTGCCAGAGAACTGCGCGGCGGCCTCCTTGCCATCGACATGCCCACACGAAGAGGGGCTGGGATCTTGGTCACCGACGGGCAGACTCACTTGGTGTGACGGCGGCTGTTTGGAAGGGAGCAAGCAATCGCCGCTGCCGCTCCTCTCTGCCGTTGGTGTGGCCAGATCCAGCGCATCGATGACGTCGGATCTCGATCGCAAAGGTGTCCATGCCGTGCGAATGGCATCGGTATCGTCGAGGGCGTGGGAGATGGGTCGGCAAGAAGAGAGAGGCTGAACGCCGCAGATCTAAGCCGGAGATGACCGATAACGTCTCATCCGAACATGGCGCCTCTCGCAGGCACCCTTCCTCGCCAAATCCTTTGGATTCTTCGAGACCAAATCGCGAGCTCAGACTGGGGGAGACCTTAGGGTTCGGGGTTGCTTACCCTGCAGCGCCTCGGAAGAAAACCACAGTGATTCATCAAAGATGAATTCCCCGTTGCCGCGCGTCAAGGCCGATGTGATAGTGGTGGGAGCCGGACCTGTCGGCATGACGCTCTCACTCCTGCTGTCCAAGTATGGCGTCAAGACACTGCTGATGGACAAGAAGACACAGATGCGGCAGCACCCGCAGGCGCATTACCTCTCCCAGCGAACCATGGAAGGTGAGAGCTCAGCGGGGATGAGTGAAATTTGGGAATACATGAAGAAGCAAACGTGTGTGTTCAGTGTGGCGCTCGCTGGGTCATCTTGACTTCGCCATAGAGCAGCACATGCCGCCGATGAAGCACTGGCGGTCGTTCGTGTACGGCACGTCACTCAGTGACCCCGTCATTGCGGCAAGAGACCACCTCAAAGGTCAGTCAACCACTCACTACGGTCGCATCCCACATGTGCGCATTTCCTTCGCTGCTCTCTTCTGTGCAGACCGCGAAGCGGCTCTTTGGGCGCTGAGTCCTTCCAAGGTGGGCCACTTCCCGCAGCACCACCTGGAGCCCCTCCTCTACACCCACCTCGTCGCAGCCACACAGACGGCCCAGCCGTCGTCCTTCTTCCGCTCGCCAATCGACGTGCGCCTGGGTGTCGAGTGCGTCAGCATGGAGGCCCCCCAGCCCAACACAGACACAGACACGGACACGGCACGTCGCGTGACGTGCCGCGTGCGGGAGGTGGAGAGTGGGGAGGAGGGAGAGGCGGAGGCGTCCTTCCTGATTGGGTGTGACGGCGCACACAGCAGGGTTCGCGAGATGATGGGTGTGGAGATGCGGGGCGAGAAGTGTCTGCAGAGCCTCATCAACGTGTACTTCGTGTCCAAGCGGATGGGCGAGATCGCTCAGAAAAACCCCGGGATGCTCTACTTCCTCTTCAACAGAGAGGTCGGTCGGCCAGTCACAGGTGGAAGGGCAATGGGTATGGATGTGGGCCGTGTGTGTGTGTGTGTGTGTGTCAGCTTATAGTGATCCTTGTGGGCCATGACCTGCAGAGCGGCGAGTTCGTCGCGCAGATCCCCTACTTCCCTCCGCACCAGGCACGACAACGAGAAACGAACCGCAGACATGGACCAACACACACGCGCACATTGCCTCTGTTTCTGTCCGTACCTCAGTCTCTCTCTCGCGACTTCCCCGAGTCTCGTTGCCGGGAGCTCATCCACGCCATGGCCGGGCAGACACTCCCTGACCTCAACATACAGGCACAGCAGACGCACACAGCCTCTCGGCAGCGCCGCACATCTATGTCATCTGCTGTGTTTGTCTGTCCTACAGGGTGTCCGTGCGTGGAAGATGTCAGCTGAGGTGGCCTCCTCATGGGTCGACACACGCAGCAAACGGGTCATCCTCTGTGGCGATGCGGCGCACCGGTTGCCGCCGGCGGGAGGGTTCGGGATGAATCTGGGCATCGCTGACGCCTACAACCTGGCGTGGAAGCTCTCACACATCCTCGCCAACGACAAACACACGCAAGCAAAGAGACAGACAGACAGACATGGGACGGTGTTCCATGTCTTCACCCATCCGTCGATGTGTGTGCAGGTCGGGTGCTCTGTCGGCTGACAGCGAGCGATGCCTCAGGAGCTATGAAGAGGAAAGAAAGACAGCAGCGCTGGTACGTAACGGGCAGGCACACACAGGTGGCACACACACCAAACACACGACATTCTGTCCCCTCTCTGTCCTCAGTACAACTGCTCTGAGGCCATCCGGAACTTCCGCCGCTCTCTGCACATCCCCAACACTCTCGGGCTTAACTTCGACCTCGCAAAATCTGTCGCCAATGTCATGCAGCAAATGCCCAACGCCCCGACACCTCCACCGCCCAGCAGCGACGGCAACGGCAATGGCAGCGACGTGCAGCCGGTCAAGCAAAAGGAGAGGGAGAGGGGCGAGGGAGGGGGCGGCTGGACGGGGACGGTGGTCAACACTGCCTTGCGTGTGGGGCGGGTGCAAGTCGATGTGTGGAAGAATCTGCCCGGGGGATGGGCCAGCAGGAAACAGCTGATTGAGGTGAGCAGGAGACGAGCCGACACGCACATGCCTGCAGGAGGCCGTGTGTAAGAGTGTTTGTTTGGGTGGGTGTTTGTAGGAGTGTTTGCGCGACGAGGAGAGGAATCTGAGTCTCATCTATCCCGGCCTGGACCTACTGGTCACCTACCAGAACTCATCCCTCCTGCACAAACCACAACAAGAGGACACCAGCACCACATCGCCACTCAACAAACCGCACCTCACAGTTAGTAACCACACACACACACAGAGGGAGAGAGAGACACACACACACACACACAATCCACATGTCAATATTTCATCTCCCCTGGTGTGTGTATGTGTGCAGGTGTCTAAGTCGCCCTTTCACTACCGCCCCCAGACGCTCATCGGCAGCCGGCTGCCGCACGCACAGCTGTTCATCCCACTGAAGCGAGAGCGGACACAGCACAAGGACAGCAAGAGCCACTCCATCGGGAGGGTATCGACCGTCGACCTGCCGTCATTATGGGACCCACCACACGCATACGGCCTGGTGGCATTCGATGACATGTGGTACGCCAGCACACGAAAGACTAGAAGGGCGCATACCTCTCATCTGTGTCCCTTGTGTGTGTGCAGGTCAGTGGCGCTTCGTCAGCTAGTGCCGACAGGCTCGTCCGCCCCTCTTGTGTCCAGTGTTGTGTGGGGGACGGACTGGCCGAGCGACGCGGGCGCGTCCCCCCCCTGGCAGCTGCAGGCCGACCACACCACCATCTGGTCGAATCGCCCACTGGTGGACTACTGGGAGGGCAGGGGCGTGGGCAAGGGGCAGCAGCAGGAGGTTCTCCGCGTGTACAGCTCGCCATTGGCCAGAGGTACGGGCATACACCCACACACATACCGAGAGTGCGCACTCATTGTCTGCGTATCTGTCTGTGTACCTGTGTGCAGAGGACTTCCTGTCTCTGCTGTTTCAGCACATCCCGCCCCACTATCATCCCAACTTTACACCGAGAGACGCAAGCGCCACCCAGCAGCAGCAGCAGCAACGACAGGAGCCACAAGGCGCCGACATATCCGACTTCGCCGAGACGTACAGCAAGAAACAAGGCGGCCCTTCAGCAATGCTGAGCGATTTCGCGTTGCTTGTTCGTCCTGACGGGCATCTCATGACGGTGCTGGCCAGGCGGGGAGACGAGCAGAGCGGCGCGAGTGGTGACTCTTCTGAGCCGCCTGATTGGATGGTGGCGAGGCTGCGGGAAGTGCTGAGTGTGCTGCCTTTCAGCCAAGTGGCTGACAAAGCGTGACTGAGTGGGCATTTATTTGTGTCATGTGTGGACCTGGCTTGATAGTTGCTCTTGGCTTGTGAGGTATGCTGGCATTTGGAGCCTTTGTATTGCAGTTGTGTGACCGCATGACAATTCAATGGCAGTACACTGAGAGACACACACTGTCGATGTCTCTCACTGCAGTCGACAAATGCACAAGGCATACGCACACACGTACGTCCCCACAACCGCTCACCCAAATCACCAAACCACCAGCGACACTTTGGCCGCACACCGAGACACAGCACAAAGTCACTCACTCACACACTCCAGCTCACCTCCCCTCCTATTACGCGACTCAATCTCTCGTCCGTCATCACTCATCCTTCCTTGGCGCGGGAAGCACCCTCCCCAAAGGTGGATAGCAACACACCCGTGGCCATGAACATAACCAGCAACGCCACCATACTCCCAGTGAGGTCGCAACTCACTGTCAACGCAGCTCTCTGGAGAGCTTGGTGCCGTGACCAAGGGGCTTGCTCCATGAGCGTCCTCAGAGTTGGCATGAGAACCAGCATGACGACCACCAGGCAAACCTCCATCAGGTCGCGTGTGGACAATACAGTGTCTGTCCTCTCGCCTACAGTGTCGGTCTTCTCCGCCGGCAACCTAAGCGCTTCTCCGTCGAGACTAAGGTACAGCGAGAAGGCAGTCAGCAGCAGCATCACGAGACCATGGGTAACCATCGAGACGAGTCGAGTCCGCTTGGGAGTGAAGTCGCCGCCATGGAGGGAGGCGACCTCTGACATGCGCTTGAAGAAAGACCTCGAGCAGGCGACCAAGATGGCCACCAACAGGATAGACCAGAAGACCATCGGCAGCGGGGAGCGGGGCACCCAGTCCAGCACGAGAGGCATGAGAACGAAAAGGACGAAGTGCGACAAGACGAACACCCAAAAGCTCAAACTCCGCAGCTGCACACAAACACACACACAGGCCCGGACAGTGAACGAAAGGATACACACGTGCAGCCTCTGTCGCGTGATCTTGCCCACCCTCGGGATCTCTGGCCATGATTGGACAACAACGGCAGCAGGCACATTCTGCACGGGCGGCGGGGCAATCTGCGGCACGGGGGGCGGGAGAGCGGGCAATGGGGTGGGAGAGGTTGCAGGCCAGGCGGGGAGCGGCTGAGCGGTGGGATGGCTCCATCCTGCGGCTGCCTGCACGCCAACGGCCACATCCCCTGAGGTGTCTGACGTGTCAGGAGGAACCATCGGCAACGACACTGGACAGATCAGATCAGATCAAACATGTGCACAGCTCAGTTGCCTCAGAGGAAGGGGCACTTTAGAATGGCCTAAGCTCGCATGTAAGCTCGCATTTCACACCGCACTCCCTCCGCTCGCTCCGGTGGTTGTGGCGTATATTTGCGTTGGGAGCCTTTGTATTGTATTGTATTGTATTGTAGTTGTGTGCGTAAGGAGATGCATTCAGTGGGAGGACACGGAGACACACCCACCCTGTCCATGTCTCTCTCACTCATTGATGGCAGTGGACAAATGTACCGAGAAAGAGATAAGAGATACACACATCCGTCCACAAAAGCGCTCATAGACCAAATCACCAAACCGCCAACACACATCCACACACGGCACCTTCCCTCCCCTCCCCCCTGCTATTACGCTACTCAATCTCTCGTCCGTCAGCACTCATCCTTCCTTGGTGGCGCGGGAAGCAACCTCCCCAAAGGTGGATAGCAACACATCCGTGGCCATGCGTGCGACCGTCACCACCACGATACTTCCAGCAAAGTCGCAACTCACTGTCAACATAGCCCTAGGAATCGCGATAGACGGCGACCAAGGGCGCCGCAGCGCGATTGTCTTAGTCGTCCTCATGAGAACCACCACGGTCACCACCAGACAAACCTCCACGAAGTCGAATCTAGACGCCCAAGTGTCCTCCCTCTCGGCCGGCAACCTAAGCGCTTCTCCGCCGAAAACCAGAGACAGCAAGACAGCCGCCATCAGCAGCATCACGAGGCCATGGGTAACCATCAACACGAGTCGAGTCCGCTTGGGAGTGAAGTCGCCGCCGTGGAGGGGGGCGATCTCTGACATGCGATTGTAGAAGGACCTCGAGCAAGCGACCAACACACCCAACCCCGCAATAGACCAGAGGAGCATCGGCAGAGGGGAGCGGGGCACCCAGTCCAGCACTTGAGGCATGAGCAAGAGAAAGACGAGGTGCGACAAGACGAACGCCCAAAAGCTCCAACTCAGCAGCTGCAAGTCAACAGTCAGAACACACAACCCAGACAAACACTGAACAGGGGCTGGACATGTAAGAGTTTGGTACGTTTGGTGCATGACCTTGACCACCCTCGGGATCTCTGGCCACCATGGGACAACAGCCGGCACACTCAGCATTCCATTGGGCGGCTGGGCAATCTGCGGCAACGGGGGCGGGAGAGCGGGCAATGGGGTGGGTGAGTTTGTTGCAGGCCAGGCGGGGAGCGGCTGCGGGGTGGGATGGGTCCAACCTGCGGCTGCCTGCACGTCGATGGCCACATCCGCTGAGGCGTCAGGCACGCGAGGAGCCATCAGCAACAATTTCAGCAACGATGACGATGATGAGTGGACAGATCAGGTCCGATCAAACATGTGCATTGCCGCAGTGATTCATGGGATGATGCTGTCCTTTTCAAGGGTCTCTTCTCCTTGGCTTCAAGCTCGCAGAAAACCCCGGGGTTCGCTGTCAAGATGCTGCCGGCGCTTATGTCCGTGATGCTGCGGGCCACAACGTGTGACGTAATCAGCAGTTGGCCTGTCATCCATCACCTCCCCGCCTTCACGCCTTCTCCTTCATCCATCGGCAGGCGCTCCCAGGCCCGCGCCTTCCGGAGGAGATCATCGCTCGTCAAGGCCAAGACTCCCGCGGCTCACCAGAAGGAGAGCCCCTCTTATCGATTCATCAATCCCTATGAGGAGCTGAAGCAGGAAGATGCCGTGCAGGCGCTCAACCCCGACACTGCAAACAGCCCTCTGATGCTCTACCTGCCCGGCATGGACGGCACCGGCTTCTCCGCATTCACACAGTTCCCCTTCCTCTCTGAAGAATTCGACCTCACATGCCTCTCTATCACTGCCAACGACCGCAGCACGGTGCAAGAGCTGGTGCAGGCGACGCTCTCCCATCTGCACCAGTCACCTCCTCGCCCCTTCTATTTGCTTGGCGAGAGCTTCGGGGCTGTTGTGGCGCTGCTCGTGGCGCACGAGATCGAGAAGGCGCCGAAAGACTTCCCGGGGGAGCTGAGAGGGGTGATCATCGTGAACCCGGCGACGTCTTTCCTGCGGTCGTGGTGGCGCAACTACCAGGCCTTCCTCGACCGAGTGCCGTCGTTTCTGTTCGGTGTGGCTCTGCTGCCGCTGGTGTTCTCGTCTGTCGATGTGACGCTTGCGAGAGATCTGGTGCAGGACGCCCTGATGAAGGCCAAGCGCATCCCGAGGTGGCTCAAGGGACAGCCGAGGAAGGAAATGATGGAGCTGCAAGAAAGGTGCGGATGGATCGATCTGGATGCGTCATGCATGATGCTGGGTATCGTTTTGTGTGTCAGGACGACCCCAGCGCACATGTCGTTCCTTCGCAAGGCTGTGCCTATTGTCATCCGCATCTTAACGGTGCCGCTGCCGCCCGACACTTTTCGATGGCGGCTGAGAGAGTGGCTGCGGGAGGGCGCCACCATGGCCGAGCCCATCCTGCCGCACGTCCACGCCCCGGTGCTCATCGTGGCCGGCGAGGGAGACCGACTGCTGCCCTCACGTGAGGAGGGCGAGCGGCTGCTGAAGGTCCTGCCGAACCCGTCAAATCGTCTTCACAGTGTGCGCGGGGGCGGCCATGCGGGCACCCTCAACGTCCCTCTCAATCTGCGGGCGCTCATCCGAGATTGGGAGGGGGAGAGATCGTGCCAGAAGCAAGAAGTAGGGGCGTCAGCTGCAGGTATCCAGCGTAGTTAGCCAGCGGCCAGCAACTGTCAGTAGCTGGCCGCGGACAAGTGAGTGTATGAGGTTTTTGAGTTGGTCTTTCCGTCAGTAGAAGTGTGTATCAGTATGTGAACAGTGTGTGTGGCATACAAATGGCATCGAACACTGCGTGCTGCGCCGGACTTTTGGTGCGCGATCTACGGAAAGCTTGCATGTTCAGCGCAGTGAAAGACAAGCGAATCAATTGATACACATACGAAGAGAAAAGAGGGAACATGACGGTTGTCAGTGACAAGATGGACGCAGCAACGTGAGGGCAACGAACACACTCATCGCCGAGGTGCATCGAACGTGTCTATTCATCAATTGGTTGCTTCCTGCAGGCTGCGGAGTCTGATCCTGGTCTATGTGACCGTGTTTATCGATATGATGGCCGCCACGCTCGTGATCCCTATCCTCCCGTACCTCATTATCGAGTACGAAGCTGACGACAGCTGGATCGGCATCCTCACGGCGGCCTACTCGGCGTCCCAGCTCATCAGCAATATCGCCCTCGCACGCATCACCGACTTCTTCCGGTCAACCAAACTGGGGCTCATCATCTCGCTCGTCGGGAGCGTCGGAGGTACTACTCCACACACGTACATGCAGCAGATGGGAGTGGGGATGCTCTTGACCCGTTCACCTGTGTCACTGTGTGCAGGCAACTTCGCGAGTGGCTTCTCGCGCAATGAGTACGACCTCCTCCTTTGGCGTGCCCTGACGGGGCTGTTCGCCGGCAGTGCGCCTGTGGCACAGGTACGTGTGACGATTGATTGATTCTGTGAGCAAAAGGTGCGATCCCTCCGCCGCATGCAGGGCTACATTGTTAGCGTGACGACAGCCGAGCAGCGCCCCCGCTACCTGGCCATCACGGGCTCAATGATCTCGGCTGCCTTGCTGTTTGGACCGGCCATCGCAGGAGGCCTGACGGTCTATTCGTATTATATGCCTTTTTTCGTCGCGGCGGGCGTGGCCGCCGGCAACACGCTCCTGACGCTCGGTTTCTTTCGCGAGCAGCGCGATGCCGCCCACAAGCCGCGCGCAAGAGCCCAGTCCCTCACCCCTCCGCCCGACTCATCCTTACAGAGAGAGATCGTCCGAGAAGAGGAGGAAGAGGACCTGCCTATGATGGTGGTCGACCACGGCGAGATCGTGTGCCGGCAGACCAGCAAGAGATCCGAGTGCCCGCCAGACACCCAGCACAGCCATTATGAGGAGACCAAGCCGCTGAAGAGAGAACGAGAAAACGAGAGCGACAGTAAGAGCGACAGTAAGGACGCGGCGGACGGGGAAGGGGAAGGGGAGGGCGTGGACGGCAGGCAGGTGACAATGGAGGTGATGGAGTCGCCGAGTGACATGTACCACAGGGAGGCCAAGCTGGTCCGAATGGAGATGGGCGAGACGGAAGACAAAGAGCCGACAGAAAAGGAGGAGGAAGAGGAGGACGAGAAGGCCGCCAAGCGCAAGAAGGCCATCTCGCTGACGCTCATCGGCGCGGCGTCCTTCCTCCATGGCGGAGCCTTCTCGGTGGTCCAGACCACGCTGGGACTGTACCTTAGCGAGGAGGTACGGAGGCCATATGAGCCGTTGTCACCGGCCCTCCCATCTCTCTCTCTCTCTCTGTGTGTGTGCGTGTGTGTGTGTGTATGCGTGTGTGGCTGTAGTTCGGTGTGGATCCGCTTGATCTGGGGTTCATTTTAAGCGGTGTTGCGGTCATCTTCATCATTTCACAGGTGGGCAGACAGGGCGTTCATATGAACACACACACAATGGAAAAAAGACAGACATTTGACGCAAGCAAATGTGCGTGTGTGCTCATCCATTCACTCAGCTGATCATCTTCGACCTCACTCGCAAGTGGGTGGGTCTGGAGCGGACGGCCATCATAGGCGAGAGCATCATGCTGGTGGCCTTGGTGGTAGCCCCCCTGGCGGACACTCTCTGGCTCTTTCTCCTCATTCTTGGGGTCAACGTGATGGGCAACAGCATGGTAACGCCTAGTATTCCTTCCATCTTGGCCTACTTCGCCACATCGGGCAACACGGCCACTGTCATCTCCATCGGTGGGTGAAATATGACCGCTGGCTCGTGTGTTGTGTGCACATGATGGATGGATCTACATGGATGGATGGATGGATGCTATGTGTGTGTCAGGACAGAGCTCCCAGGCCGCAAGGTGAGCAGGCGCATGCAAACGATCCATATTATGTCGGCTATGCGTGCGTGTTTGTCGTGTGCTTACGTCCTTCAGCCGAGTCGTCTTTCCCATTATCCTGGGTAGGCATGGACACAGACCCACACCCATCGGCCACACCAATGTATGTATGTGTGTGCGGTGTCGTGCCGATCCACGCAGGGTTTGTGTATGAGTATAACAAGGCTTGGTCATGGTACTTCAGCGGCGCTATTGGGGCCGTGGCGCTCATCGTCTGGGTTGCCTTCTTCCTCAGCAGAACTCTCGAAGAGAAGAAGAAAAAGGTCAGTACGTCAGTCATTTCATTTCGCTCACACACACATACATCCCGCCACACTGCACCACACACACACGTGGGTGTGTTGATGGATGGCTGGGTTGATACACACAGCTGCTTGCGAGTCGGGAGGAGGAGATGAAGTCGCTCTTGCGCATCAACACGGCCAAGGCCGAGGTCACAACGGCGGACAAACACGCACTCGGGGAGTGGTTCGCCGGTACGTGTGACACACACACACACAAGGGGGATGGAAAGAGCACGGCATATAGTTATGGCCTCCTTTCTATGTTGTGTGTTCCCGTGTGTGTGTGTGTGGGTGGGTGGGTGTGCATGGGTGCGTGTGTGGCAGATTTCCTCTACTCGCGCAACTATACAATGTGGAAGCAGCACCTCAACGGCCTGCAGGTGAACAGACAGAACCGACAGACAAGCCACACTGGCATCCACTCATCCATCCATCCGCTATGCCTCCCTCTCCCTCTCTCTGTACCCATCCATCCATCAGTGGCTGGTCGGTGTCGCCTTCCCAAAGTAAGTCGTCACCCACTCACACAAAGCAAGAGACGAGACGTCACACACACCGACCACATCTCCCTCCCTCGCTCCCGGTGCGTCTCTGTGCTGATAGGCTGCGTGAGGGTGAGGCGGAGAAAAAGGAGGACATCCAGGCCCTCGTGCGGCGGTACAAGGTCATGAAGGACGAATGGGAGCAATATGCAGCGCTTGCCCAATCTATGCGGCCCTACTGACTGACACCCATCGCAGGCGATCTCTTGTTCGGTGTCTGCTCGCTTGATAGTCTGAATGGACACACTCTTGTCGCTTCTTCAGTTTTTTGGGGTTGTGGGTTTGCTGTCGATATAACGGTGTATGTGTGTACGTACGGCTCTGTGTGTCCCACTTGTTCGCTAGGAAATGACTGCCGTCGTCTTGGTCGTGTGTCGTTTCAGATACATGAGATATGATTCATTCGCCACCGTCCGGCATCGGTCCCACACACACAGAGGGATAAAAACACCACACACACATACAAGCATCCACAGACACATGCGCACACGAAACACGCGTGGTTCCAACTTGACCCCAAAAAACGCATCAGCACATGTATGTGCAGCGCACACAATGGAATGTCAATGTCTCTATCAAAGAAGGCGCACTCTTTGTGCCCTTCCTTGTAACGTCGTGGCATCAGGCAGCTGGACCAACAACAGCAAGAGGCTCACGCCCCCACGTATGCATGGACCAACCGATCATTGATGCCGCTGGCTGCGTGTGTATCCACAAAAGGGAAAAACCTCTCACAGCAGCCTTCACGATCTCACAGCCTGTACACCAGCAGCGATGAGCTCGCTGTCTATCTACCAGTGTGTCAATGTCTTGTCTGTCTGTCGACATGATGATTGACAAATACATATACCGACCGAGGAAATCTTGAGGGCTTCAAGCTTCGCTTGGCCCACTTCATTCACTCACTGCGCCTGCCTCCCCCTCCCTCCCAATCCCGTATCGCCACCCTGCTGTCTCGATGCCGCGCTGCGTGGTTCGAAGCCCAGCCCTAGTGTCGACGATGAGCTGCCTCCTGACGATGATGAGGCTGCCGGCGACACTGTCGGCGCTGATGGTGTGTTGTCTTGTGAGTCCACCGATAGATCCACTACTGTGTCCAAAGGCTGACAATCACACAGACAAAACATGGTATTCTATGTTTGTGCACTCCTGGCAATTTTGACTCTTGCTCACCAGTGGCATATAGGCGAAAGACGATCCCCGCTTCCGTGCCGCTGTCTCCGCATTCTCGCCGTCATCATCATCCACATGCGGCCCCTTCCCTCTTCTGGTGGCCATCCTCACAATCCGGCTCACAGACACCACACAGATGTCCCGTATTGACGAAAGCGAGACGGCTGGGTGGTCAGTGACTCCCGAGAGAATGAGGAATGCGACGACAATCATGAGGTCGCCAATGATAGCTGTCGGGGAGATGTGTGTGAGGGAGGAGTGCAGCGACAGGTCTAGCAACAGGCTGATCGGGATGGCCAGCGCGAAAGCTGCATTCACACAGCATTGAGAAAAAGGTCAATTTGTCGTGTACCCATGCATTTGGTTGGCTTACCGCATGTGAGTAGCAGGGGTGAGTGGAGTGCGATGACGACCACGCTGAGGCAGTTGACACCGAATGCCACCGCCGCACTCACAACCACACCGACGACCATCGACGGCTCCGTGGGAAACTCTATGCGCTCCCTGCACATCAACACACCAATGACACGAAGAGCAAACGACAATAAGAGCTGCATGGCGTCATGTCATTGCGTGTGTGCTGACTGACCATCCGGCAAAGTGGAAGAGTGCCACCACAGGCAGGATGAACACGATATGCGCGAGGGCAACCAGTATCCCATACAAGCCCATGAAGTGCATGTCGGGGTTCCTGAACGTCTTCTTGAACCCAACCTACACATTAGCCAACAGCCCATGAGAAACATGAGAATAATGCAACATGTGCCCGTCTTTTCGCTCCCACTTGATAGACAGCGTTGAGGAACGCCGACGTGAGGCCAATGAAGACGCCCAGTGTCACACCCTTGGCGCCCTGCCCCTCGTGCCCCTCCACCCACAACACACTGCCATTGGGAGACTGAGCAACACCAAAAACAGGACAAAGCCACGGTCTGGACAAAGAGGGGATCGACACATCGGCCTGCTGGTCTCATCTCACCGATGCGAGGTATGCTCCAGCCAGCGCGCCGATGACGGCCAGCACTTTGGGCGTCGTGAGTGCCGACCGCAGAAAGACCACCGACGCGCAGTAGACGAATGCCACGGATGTCTGGAACGCTGCATTCGTCACGTTAACTGAACGACACGAGAAGCACAGGCATGCACGTGAGCCAGATAATGGAATTCGAGCGGTTTCACGCACTCACCAGGGACAAAGTAAGCCGACAGAGACCAACAATAGTTGTACGCTATTAAGGCGAAAGACAGCACGACACTGAGCACCACCAACCGCCTCCCAGTGAGCTCCTGGCTGATCAGCACACTCCTCATGCCGACACCACCCCTCCCCGCCCGCCGCGTACACCTCCCGTCATCCTGTCTCGTGTGGAACCACACGCCCGTCATCTCCTCGTCCATCTCACGACCGTCGTCATTTTGTTGCTCGTCACTGTTGCTGCCGCGGAACAGCGAGAGGTAGAAGGGAACGAAGAGGACGCCTCCGACGTGACACAGCCAGATGTTGAGCATGGGACTGACTCGCTGAGCTCCCCGGCTCTGCAGCCACTGGAGCAGCTCCCCGTTGAGGCAGAATAGCAACACGGCGAGGAAGGCGAGGGCCACGGACAGGCCGAAGCGTTGCGGCGATATCACACGGAGCGGACCCATTGACTTGTCGGCTTCTGACGCACTCGAACAGGTGGATGAGCGCGAAGGCGAAGTTTGATTGTTTTCAGAGGATGAGCTGCTAGTCATGCATCAGCGGAGACAGCACGCGCCAGCTCGACGCCCACCAGTTCGTTTCACAGCATGCCCTAACTCAGCGAGAGAAACGAAGGGGGGAGAGAGAGAGAGGGACAGGGAGAGAGGAAAAGGCGTTCATCGCATCGGAATCATCACCCTCTTGACATCCGCATTCTCAAGGAACCGCAGATCTTTCCTTCCCGGCACAAACAAACGCACGAGGTAAGCAGGGGAGTGACGGGGATGCCTGGGGTGCCACCAGCCATGTGTATACGTCACCCTTGGCTATGTGATCTCCTGTGCCAGCAGGAAACAAGCCTTTCCGCGGAATCTCTCCCTCCCTCTCCAAGGATCCAGCCACCGACCAGCAAGCTGCCTCCGGAGCGATAACAGCAGCGTGTCTGTCTGTCCACACCGCTGGTTGAGCAGTATGAACGAGCACACCGTGGACGTCAGCATTGGTACGCACACGCGCGCGCACACACCTCCATTGCGTGGCTGACCTTTGGTTGTATGTCAACTGTCCCCGTCAGACACTGCGGGCGGCGAGGTTGGGACAGGCCTTTCCTGCCCACATGCATTGAACGAGCCGCTGAAGAAGGCCTCGGCCATCCTGAGGAGCTTCGCGTGGGACGCCTACATGGCCGAGTTCGTGGGTACCTTCTTCTTGGTGCTGACGATCGGACTCAACGTGGTCCAGGGCAACGACCTGGCGCCGCTCTCGATTGGCGCCATCCTCATGGTCATGATCTTCGCCATGGGCTCCGTGTCGGGCGGACACTTCAACCCAGCTGGTCAGTCAGTGATTGACAGACAGAGATATATGGGGGGGCTGTCTGGGTGTGCTCTGGTGTGTGCTCACTGTCTGTCTGTCTCTCTGTTGTCCTGGTGCTCTCAGTGACGTTGGCTGTGTGGCTGTCTCGTCGGCAGAAGATCACTCTGCGTGACGCCGGCATCTACTGGGTCGTTCAGCTCCTGGCTGGCCTCGTCGCGGGCCTGACGTACTCTGGCGTCCTGGGCGCCTCGTTCGCCCTAGAGCCCATCGACGACAAGCGGGGCACCATCATGTCGGCCTGCCTGGTGGAGATCCTGTACACGTGTGCCCTGTGTCTCGTGATCCTCAACGTGGCGACGACCAATCAGGACACACCCAACCACTACTTCGGCCTGGCCATCGGCAGCACCGTGGGGTCGGCGGCCATCGCCATTGGGGGCGTGAGTGGCTGCTCACTCAACCCCGCCGTCTCGTTCGGCGTCACAATCACACACGTTTTGACAATGGAGAGCGAGGGCCGCCATTGGGACTACATCGGCCTCTACCTTGCCGCACCGCTCGTCGGCGCGGCGCTGGCAGCCGCCATTTTCTATGCTGTCCGACCCGCCGAATACGGCGGGAAGAAGGACAAGTAGCTAAATCGGTGGTGTGGCGTGATGGGTCGTTGTGTGGTCACCCATAGAGTAGCCACAGTGTGTGCTGCGTGTGCCTGCCTATGTGATGTGCGTGTGGCTGCCTGTATGTGTGTGGCTGTATGTGCGCAACGGAACTAGTCTCTCTCTGGTAGTAACGACTTCTGGTCGGGCTGGCTGTCTGCCCTGCTGCGCACACTGCGTGTGTGTTGGCCTGTTCTCTCTCGTGATTTATGGATGGTGTTGTTACATACTGTGATTTGGAAA